ACGCGTCGGGACGCGTTGGGCTTATAACTTTGTTAAGCGCCGCCCAGAACTCCAGACACGCTTCCAACGAAAATACGACTATCGGAGAGCTAATTGCGAAGATCCAGAAGTCATTCGTGGCTGGTTTGAGCTTGTACGAAACACAATAGCGAAGTACGGAATCTACGGTGCAGATATCTACAACTTTGACGAGACTGGGTTTATGATGGGCGTTATCTCAACTGCAATGGTTATTACAAGCTCAGAAGGACGTGTAAAAGCAAAAAGAGTACAGCCTGGTAATCGGGAATGGGTTACAGTAATCCAGGGGGTTAATGCCCAAGGCTGGTGTGTTCCACCGTTTGTGATTGTTGCCGCAAAAAATCACCTCGCTTCTTGGTACCAAAACAGTGGATTTCCACCTAACTGGGTGATTGCTATTACTGAAAATGGTTGGACAACAAATGAGAAAGGCATGGATTGGATTCGACATTTTGAGAAGCATACAAAGTCCCAATCTATTGGTGGTTATCGTCTATTAGTCCTCGACGGCCATGAAAGCCACCACTCCGACGAATTTGAGGAATATTGCAAGGAAAACAACATTATCACTCTTTGTATGCCTGCTCATTCTTCTCATATACTCCAGCCACTCGACGTTGGCTGTTTTAGCCCTTTGAAAAGGGCATATGGTCAGCAAATTGAAGATATGATGCGGGCTCAGATCATCCATATTACTAAGGATGATTTCTTTCCTGCCTTCCACGCCGCATTTAATATTGCAATGACAGAAAGCAATATCCGAGGAGGGTTCCGAGGGGCTGGGCTTCTTCCATTTGACCCAGAAAGTGTAATTTCTACACTTGATCTTAAGCTAAAGACGCCAACGCCTCCAAACTCCCCCCCGTATTCCGCTCAGCCTTGGGTTTCCCAGACACCAAATAACCCTACTGAAGCCTTATCACAGACTGCATTTATTAAAGATCGAATTTTACGCCACCAAAGTAGCTCTCCAACCCCTATTTACGAGGCCATTGACCAGTTTACGAAGGGTGCATCAAAAGTAATGCACCAGATAGTACTATTGAAAGCTGAGAACCAGAGACTTCGACAAGCAAATGAAGTACTAAGTAAGCGCCGTAGAGCTAAAAAAACACGCCTACAGCGAGGATCACTTAGTCAACAGGAAGCGCAGGACCTACAGGATGATAAAGACGTTGTTGAGCAGGTAATGCAGGAAATAAAGAGAAGTAGTGGTCGGAAGCCGAGGGAAGAATCACGTGCACGGCGCTGTGGTAACTGCGGAGAGACTGGTCATAATACGCGCACCTGTAATATTATAGAGGAAGTATCTGAGGAAGAAACTTCTGAATAGTGTTTTTTAATTAGAGGCGTTGTGGTAGAGTTCTTACAATTTCCATCGCGAGTGTAGAAAATTTTGGCCGGTTCGCTTGTTTGGCCGGTTCGCTATACATGCACGTTACTCGCTTAGATTAATTAAAGGTTTTATATTCCCCTTATTATAGCTATATTACCTTTAACTACAGCCGCTTTCAGAGACTATGTTCTTCCCTGTCAATCTAGACACAATTATTCGCCTTCTACTTCAAAAAAGGCATACGAAATAAACTCGGAGTAATTCGCTAGTCTCTTACACCGATCGAACTTTTCAGTACTAGTAGGACGGGGATACTATGCATATTTACACCGTCTTTAGCGCTCTAGATGATTATAGTTGCTCTTGTGCTGGGTCTACTTTCTCTTTTGCTCCACTTCCTTATTTGATCCACTTATAGTTCTGCTGCCTAAATGCTTCATGTCTGCCTAAACCTTACACTCTTTATATAAACACCTTAGATAGCTACCTTTTACAATGCAATCAATTCTCCATGACCTTCAATGCCCAATACCCTTTCAACCCAATAGTTGCCTATGAAGTAAAGTCGGAGATCTGATTGAGAATGAGTATTATGAGGTTTCTGCGTGGCTGCCTATTCTTGCCTTCCTGCAGAATCTCATTCCGTTGCAGTGATGAAGTTCTTGGATAGATCTCACAGGGAAAGCTACCATGATGTCGATGTGTCCAGTATGAGCTTCATCGGTTATCTAATTACTTCCTTTAACAGAAGATACTTGCTATATATATATACAGTAAGAGGACATTGTTGGTTCCAAGCAAATATCTCATACTCTAGATACCTGTACGTACATGAGTCTTTGACTCTTCCTTCCCACGCCCCCATTTTTATAGTTTGT